CTTTCTTTTGATTTGCAACTTTAGGGTCTCTGTATGTCTGAGGAATTCCAGGTTTTGTTCACATACTTGGAATGCAAAGGTATGAGCCTGAAGTTTGAAGCCTGGTCTGACAGCTCCAGACCTGAGTGTGCCTGTGACCACCTGAACACCCATCCTGTGTTTTCATCATTTAATTATCTTTCAACATTGTAACAGGTTTTATAAAAGAGAAAGTTTAAGAAGGAACAGGAAGCAGGATGAGGGCAGCCTAGGGCCAGGAGCAGAGGGTGGACTGACTGGACCCGAGGGAGGACAGCATAGCGGAACATTCCAGGTGACAGGATGATGCTGACCATGGTGGTGAATACACAGGACTGCACTCTGCTACACTGCACGTGGCGGGCACGTGTGGCTACTTGCCAACTCTACCTCACTATCTCATGCTCAACAAGAAAACATATTTCAAATCAGATCGAATGCAGTATAAAAACCTATTGAAAGATTTTTTTTTTCCCGGGTGAGGATTAACCTCAGGGCCCAGGAGCCCAGGCACATGTTCTACCACTGAGCCACATTTCCAACCCCCATGAAGTATTTTTAAAGTCATTGTAGAATTATATATTTACAAACTTAATTACTATTATTAGGGGGTCACTGCATGACCCTAATCCCAGAAACTAAAGAAAAAGACTGGAAACAATTAAATGAACAAACAGATATAAACAAAAACACGGGCACACAGAAATGCCCGGCATTAGCTGTCACTGCAGGTCTGCCACTTGAAACACAAACAGTCCCATACTGCAAAAAAATTAATTTCCAAAAAAGCCCAACCACAAGCTGGGAAAACATGTCTGCCAAGAAATTAAAAGGAGCCAATTTAATATGCAAATCGGTAAAAAAAAAATGGTGACTCAAAGAGAGAAAGGCTACAAATAGGTTTATGAGAAAATACCGATCCTTCCTCAGAAATACGAAGTCAAAAATGGCAAGTTTCAATTATGACATGTTTACACGTGATAATCTCCACAACTGAGGAACAGAAATGATCCTGTGTTGGGGACAGAAGAACAGCGGGGAGACCCCTGCAGAAGAGCCTAGCCAGACTTTCTCGGCATTCAGAGTCACGCCCCCAACTCCCTGACACCACGGCTAAGAAGGTGCTTCCTACATGCTGTGTCATATGCAGATACACCTACATGGCTGTTCACCACAGCACTCTGCACAGCACTCAAAGGCAAGGGAGGGCTGGTGAAAAACCAAGGCCTATCCAGAGCTGGGCTGACGGCTCAGCAAGTAAAGGGTCGCCTTGCAGGCATGCGGACATGAGTTCAATCCCAGCACCCAGGCAAGTACTGCTGGGCATGCGATCTCAGTGCTGGGGGGCACAGGGGTCCCTGGAGCTTGCTAGTCAGCCTCACCCTGCTGTATGTGATGAGCTCCACACTAGCATCAGACGCTGCCTTTTTTCACACAGAAAAGGCAGATGGAGGCCGAGGAACAGCACCCGAGGCTGACCTCAAGTGCACCAGCATGCACACATGTGTGTGCATACAACGTGAGTGGGTGCACATGTACACACACACACACACACACACACACACACACACACATACACACACACCAAAAACCAAATCTAAAAACCCCAAACTAAGGCACATTCATCCATGTGACAAACGCAGTGGCTAAGGAACCTCAGGACTGTATGTCACGTGGGAAGACAGGACAAATTAACTGAAGTAAAGACAGGACATAAAACAATGCAAGAGGATTATATCTGAGCAAATACGATTTCTAAATATTATAAAAAAATTTTTTTGTCTTTTTGAGACAGGGTCTCCCTGTAGCCCCAGCTGTCCTGGAACTCACTATGTAGACCAGGCTGGCCTTGAACTCACAGAGATCCACCTGCCTCTGCCTCCCAAGTGTTGGGATTAAAGGCGTGCGCCACCACGCCCAGATTTTATTATAAAATATTTTTAACATAAAATTTCTCTAGAAACATATAACAAAGTGTCAAATCAAGGTAGTTTCTAAGGATGAGACTGGGAGGGAAAGCCCGACAGGCCGAGGGCCACCCTACAACGCAGAGTCACTGTGTGAGGGTTTCTCTCAGTGGCTGGAGAGACCACTCAAATCCTGGGACTCAAGTTTGGTTCCCATCACCCAGGTTGGGCAGCTCACGGTACCCTAACCCCAGTTCCAGAGGATCTGGCACCCTCTTCTGGCCTCCACGGGTACCTGTACACACTCAGCATACACACACAGACACACTCAAAGAAAAGTTAAGAAAAATAGTGTCTTTCCATCTGGAAGTGCAGTTCTCCCATAACCAGGGGAACTCCCTCTGGCCAGAGGAACCCTCTCTAACAAGGGGAAGCCCCTTGGCCAGGGGAACCACTCACCTAGACTCATGCCTCTACTAGAGAAAGTCTAAGTGCTGAATTGTCTGACTTTCCTTCCTGTGACCTGCAGCCCAGGACAGTTCTCTCCCCACTCTTCTCCCGCCTTGACACCCCCCCCACCCCGCCCCCAACTCCCTACCGCAGCTCAGTCTTCTCGGATTCGATCTGGAGGATGGCCATGGTTCTCTCATAGTTCTTTTCCGGGCAGTCATAGAAAGTACGAGCAATCCATCTCGATATTGGGTGCTGAGAAGTGATACAGTTGGTTACTCCGAGCAGCTCGTTACCTCTCTGGTTGGCGACTGTCTAAAATGACTGGGACACCCACTCGGTGCCAACTACTTTCATTTATTTTAACTCACTGACCCATGCGGCAGACAAGTCTCCGCTCCCACTTAGAGATAAGCAGTTACGAGGCAGCGTCTGCACGCGGCCAGGTCAGTGGTGGCCGGAAGCCGCGCACGTCCTACCCACCAGGCTGGGGAAGCTCACTGAGGGCCCCTCTACCAGACAGCACTGTACATAGTGAAGCACTCCTCTCTAACCCTTCCTCCTTCAGCTAAGAACGTGGAGCTGCGCCCTACCCGAGGTCACCTCTGTCACCTGAGGTCACCCCGCTGGGGTACCTGTAAACTCAGCAGCACACTGATGCTGGGTTGGGTGGCAGGGACCCTGTGGTGTGACGGCCCACAGCCTGAGTCACATGGGCTGGTTCAAACTTGTCCTGGCCTGTCTCCACCCTGTTAAACTGAGTTTCCTTGTCTCCACAGCAGGACATTAACAGCACATCTTACACGGGGTAAGGCCGTACTCTCAAAAACGTTCAGCATGGTGCTTGGGACAGAGCAGCCTCAGTAAATGATGGGCGTTGGTATCACAACTTCTGACAGCACTAACTCGGGAGAATTCTATTACTTTGCTAGGCCGAGAACTTACTACAGAATCATTCTTTTAAAAAACCGTAAAGTGGGCTGGACGTGGTGGCGCACGCCTTTAATCCCAGCACTTGGGAGGCAGAGACAAGCAGATCTCTGAGAGATGGAGGCCAGCCTGGTCTACACAGTGAGTTCCAGACGAACTGGGGCTACAGGGAGATGCAGTCTCAAAAAACTAAAAATAAATAAAACAAAAATTAATAAAGAAGGAAATAAAAGTATTAAAAGTATCAAGAGTAGTTGCTTATAAAAACTTTTAGAATATATCACATACTTGACGTGAAAAACTGGATATAAAAACTACGGCTATCCCAGTTAAGACACCACTACATCAAAGGCCCCCAACGACACAGTGTTGCTGAGCTGCACCAACCTTGTAATATTCCCAGTGTTCTGGGGTGTAGCCTTCCGGGATTTCTGCCAGCTCAGCTTCACCTAGTGAGAGAGGGCAGCGGCCAATCAGCATGGACAGCCTGGGCCCCCACTTCACCAGAAAGTAGGAAACTTCAAGGGGCCACATTGGCAGCACCTAACTTGCTGAGTTCGAGGGGAAGATCAGTTCACATGAGGGTGTGTCTACCCATCTTATAAGTGAGACATCATCTACTACATCTCCTGACTTCCTGTTTAGTTTTTAAAAAAGCAACGGAGTAAGAGACATTTCTTTCTTTTCCTCCTCCCTAAACCTACCAGACTAAGTATTCTAAGGTTCAAGAAAATTCAGCACTTTAAGATGCTGTTCAGGACTTCCTGAGAAAATTTGACGCTTACACACTTCAGGACAAGATCTAAAACCTGTCCTCTCTCTGTCTCTCTCTTTTCCCTGTTCGTCTATTTTTCTGGCTTGAAAATGTCAAAGCTTGTTTGGGAAAGGGGAGAAGAGGCTTCCGGAAGCCACCTGCCCTGTGGACATGTTCCCACAAGCTTATGTGCTACCTCCAAGGCTCTGGAGCCTCTGGGAGGTGGGACTGGGCGGGGGAAGCAGGTGAGCAGCGGTGGGCCCACCCCAGGTCCAGCAGGCTTCCTGTGCCCCCAAGGCACACCCCACTGCTGCTGCCAGACAAGCACCCTGCATGTTGTGGAGGACCAAATCTGTCTGAAACCCACATAAGGGCCCTCCCTCCTCTTCAGTCTGTGAGGAGTTTCGCCACAATGATACAAAATTAACTAAAAATTAAGTGTATTTATTTATACAACTTACCCACTTGGTGGAGGAGGCTGCATGGGGAGGACTTACCAATAAAGATGTTAATCAGTGTGATGGCAATGGCTACTGGGATCCCAGTCAGCAAGATGTAGAATTTCTGTTGAGACAAAGAGACAGCTGTCCGTCCTGCCTGTTTCTCCTGAATGACTCTGGGTCTCTGCGTTCTCGCTGAACAAACATGCCAGTTCAGGAATAAGCATCAAATCACTGATTCCTGTGGCTTTCTAGGATTTAGCTTTTAGATGCTTATATTTAGCATCAAGAGAGAAATTTAAGAGAAGGCACTACTTGTAGGTGTGACACAACAGACAGCAGGTGACCGTCGGCGTTTCGGCTGACGCAAGGCAGTGAAGGAGGGCTCTACACCAACAGCGAGTGTGAAAACAGACCGACTTTAGCCACATCACGCCCTGAGTGGGTCACAGCAAGGGAGAGAGTTGACCAGGTGTGAGGGCACACCTGTGACTCCACACCTGTGACCCCGGATCTCAGGAGGGTCAGGAGTTCAAGATCAGCTTTGGCTACACAGCCATTGTAAGGCCAGCCTGGGATACAAGTGATCCTGTCTCAAAAAAAACTGAGTCCAAGGGAGGGGCTGGATAGGCACTGAGCACAGCAGGAGGGCGGAGGGAGGGGGAAGGGGCAGGCAGGAAGCATCTCAGTGAGCAGGCCGGCCTTGGGGGGGCCTCCATTTCTAAGCTTCTATCTGGCATTTTTACTGTTTTTACTCTTGAGACACATCAAGGAAACAACATTGTTACCCTGTTCCTAAAATAATACACTACACGACAGGTCAGCACCACCCTGAAGTCAATATCCCCAAATAAGAATTTTTTTTTTTTTTTTCTGGTCTTTTTGAAACAGGGTCTCCCTGTAGCCCCAGCTGGCCTGGAACTCACTATGTAGACCAGGGTGGCCTTGAACTCACAGAGATCCACCTGCCTCTGCCTCCCAAGTGCTGGGACTACAGGTGTGTGCCACCATGCCCGGCTTAACAATTTTTTTAAAAAACACATCTCCCAAATAGAGCTGCTTCACTGAAATAAATCTTTCTCAATGAGTTTAGTAGTTTAGTAACACAAATAACCAGCCTCATGTAATTCAGCCTTTACATTTTGTAAACTTGTAGAGTTTCGGGGGTTTTCATTATTATTTTTATTTTATGTGTGTGAGTGTATTGCCTGCATGTAGGTAGGTAGGTGCCCCCGTATCATGCAATACCTAAGAAGGTCAGAAGAGGATGTCAGATTCCCGTAACTGGAGTTATGGAAGGGTGTGGGTGCCGGGAAACAAACCTGGGTCCTCTGCAAGAGTAGCCAGTGCTCTTGACGGCTAAACCAGCTCTCCAGCCCCAACTTTATAGAGTTTTACGATTATGTTCGGAGCACTGGGAATGGCCGTGGGGAGGACCTGACACAGCCACTCCACTGGCCAAACCCACCAGGCAGATGTTTCCACACTCAGCAGGAACACACACGGACTTCAAACCCTGTCACCAAGGGAAGGAACAGCTGACCGTGACCGCACACGTCCTAGGGTAAAGCAGTGCAGGTCCTGCTGAAGAAACAGTTCTACCGTAAAAAGCTCAGTAGCCAATGAGACCCGACTACATAACTGCAGAATCTTATGAGGAAAGGGTCACAGCTGTTAACAGAAAAGGCGTCTCCTAAAGCTATTAGAATGTTTTAAATTTATTTTTATATGTATGTGTGTTTTGCTGGCATGGCAGTGCACCTGTACATGCACATGAAGGCCAGAAGGAGGTGTCAGATCCCCTGGAACTGGAGTCACAGACAGTTGCTGGCCACATGTGGGTGCTGGGATCTGAACCCCGGTGCTTTGCAAGAGCAGCCAGGGCTCTTAACCATTGAGCCATCTCTCTGGCCCTCTAAACACGCATTTTGCTACATGTATGCAAAGATTTTAGTTCAACATTTTCCAACTCACCAATAACTTTAAAAAACGAGTGTCATAGTATGAACTTGGCTTGATGACAAACAGTCGCTTCCCGTGGTTCCCACTGTGCCGAACAGGCGCTGAAGAGAGAAATGATCTGTTAACAGAGGCTCATGCAAACTGCTCTAGAAGACTGCAGGGTGACGTGTGCAGACTGCAGGGTGATGTGTGCAGACTGCAGGGTGACGTGTGCAGACTGCAGGATGATGTGACGTGTGCAGATGCTGCCAGAGAAACGAGCTTTTAAAAGGTTTTCTCTTATTTGAGCACAAGGTCCGGGAAAGCAGGACATGGTCAAAGACTGATAACTGCTCTCAAGCAGCGTGATTCCTTTGACAGCAGCACAGGGGTTGAAGCCCAGGGCCCCAGGACCCCAGGCTGCTAAGTGCTCCATGGCCAAACAGCTCTCCTCAGCTCACTGTAGAAACAGCTAGCCATCTTTTCCATGTGCCTCTGGCAGGAGGCAGATGCTCCTGATAAGCTGCTCACTTTTGCTTCCTCTAAAACAGACTTGCTAAAGCTGCAAAACAAACACCTCCTCACACAGGCCGTGTGAGGTATGAAGCTGTGCAAAGCAGAGACAGGACCAGCAGTATCCACTCCAACCTCCAGCATCTTATTTGATCCCAAACCATGTGTCATCCTGTGTGCGTGCACATGTTCACACGTGTGCTGGGACTGAACTTGGGGCCTCACGCATGCTAGCCCAGCACTCTACCACTGAGCTGTACCCCCAGTCCTTTCCACTCTATCCTGACAAAATCCAATTATGTCATTTCTGATTAAGAGACTCCCCTCCTGGAGTCTTCCCCCAGCAGAACTTGTTCAACCCTGCTGGAGAGAAGTGGAGGCAGCGTCCCTCCTGGACCCCCTTTCTCCACTCCTCTCCCCTCTCCTTCCCTGGGGCTTGGCAAGGATCACCAGCAGCCCACTAAGCCCAGTGCTGCTACTCAGGAACAAGACGACTGTGCTTCTCCTCTGAGTCACCTTGAGAAGAACAACGTCCCACTAAAGGCATAGTCCCAACAGACAGCAGAAAGGGGGGTCCTTTGCTCAGATTAACGTCTAGAACGATCCTCTGTCCTAATGTCTCTCCTGCAGGAGGCCAACACTGCTCTCTCAGAATGAACATGTCACACACAGGGATGGATAGTCGCCCCTCAGTGTCTGGATCCAGGAGGAACTGTTCCAGGTCCCACAGAAAGCAAAACTTACAGAGGATCAAATTCCCCAAATGAAATGACACCCGCACATAACTGCACCTGCTGTCCATACAGTCCAATGTCCAGTTTATAATGCTGATTACAGAGAATGACATGTAAATCATTGTGACACTCTTCATAAGGGAAGAATAACAAGAAAAACTGCACAAGAGAAGTCTATTTTTCCAAATATTTTCAAATCACAGTTGGCTGGATCTGAGGGTGGAGACACATGCTTACACAGGGCCACGGCTGGCTGGACCTAAGGACTGGGATCGTGGTTACACAGGGCCACGGCTGGACCTGAGGACTGGGATCGTGGTTACACAGGGCCACGGCTGGACCTGAGGACTGGGATCGTGGTTACACAGGGCCACAGCTGGACCTGAGGACTGGGATCGTGGTTACACAGGGCCACGGCTGGACCTGAGGACTGGGATCGTGGTTACACAGGGCCACGGCTGGCTGGACCAGAGGACTGGGATCGTGGTTACACAGGGCCACGGCTGGCTGGACCTGAGGACTGGGATCGCGGTTACACAGGGCCACGGCTGGCTGGACCAGAGGACTGGGATCGTGGTTACACAGGGCCACGGCTGGCTGGACCTGAGGACTGGGATCGTGGTTACACAGGGCCATGGCTGGCTAGACCTGAGGACTTGGATTGTGGTTACACAGGGCCATGGTTGGCTGGATCTGATGGTGCAGGCGCATGGAGACACAGGGCCAACTCTACCTGCTGTTGTTGATGACACTTTAATAACCAATGTCTTGCAAGCAAGCAATGTTATACTTTTGGTATCACGGGCAGGAGCTTGCACTGAATTAGGCAGTGTATGAAGCAGGTGTGGACTAGGAATAATCATACTTCTGACGCTACTAAAGCAACAGGATTAAGAGACCCTGGCATGCGGTGTGGACTCAGCAACCCTTTTACAAGCTACCATCATGGAAGAAAGTCAGCTGGGTGATACTACAAACCACCCTCCAATTCAGTAAAGACTTACATGCCTACAGTGCTGGGCCTATAGCTGAAGAGGGGTGCAGACCCTGAGGGGAGAGACAGTAGACGAGGGGTCAGAAAGCCATGAAGGCCTGAGGGGAAGACAGCACGCAGCAGTACAGGAAGGCCCAGAGGAAAGAGCCTGTGGAGATGGGAGGAGGAGGAAGCGGGAGGTGTCTGTGATGGGCAATCAGCTTACCCTCCCTATATAATGTAACTACCAAGGGACCTCTCAGACCCCATCCAAACAGCCTAAGTGGTGGAGATGGTGTTCCTAACTTGCTGAGCCTTGGAGACATAATGCTACTTTTAGAAAAGTGGCAGTTAGCCACCATGGAACACAGTCCTAGGAAAGTCTTCCCACACTTAACAAATGCCTGGTCTGTAAGGTGTAAGCACAACATAGCAAATAGCAAGCCCTTCCTGGACTGGGCTCTGGCTGCCCAAGCACTGGAAGACAACTCAGCCTCAGTGAGGCAGACTAGAATCACCCAGGACGGGAGGAGACTCAGCTGACAGGGCGTGTGCCTGGGATGTGGCTGGGTGGCAGACTGCTGGTCCAGCATGCAGGAAGCCCTGGGCTCCACCCGCAACATCGAATAAAACAGGTACTCCCCGCACTCGGGAGGTAGAGCCAGGAGGATCAGAAGTTCAAAGTCATCCTAGGCTACACAGGGTTCAAAGGTAGCCTAGGCCACATGAGACCCTGTCTCAAACAAAATAAAACACCCAAACATGAAGATTCTGCTTGTTCCCAGCCTCCTGACCACCCACACAGTTTGCCCATTCTAGAGCACTTTTTCTGAGAGTCTCCCTGTGTAGGGCAGACCAACCTGGGACCCTTGAGCTCCTGACCCTCAAGGACACATTTTTTCCCAGAGACTTAAGCAACCAGGATGGTGAATGACCTGGAAACTGACCAGGAAAAAGTGAAAGAAAGAAGCCTGAGGGGGAGTGCATGTCTTCACACAGGTAACAGGTGCTGGGGAAAGAGGTCTCTACAGTTTCCACCCAAGGGAAGAGCCACAGTCAACACAGAAGGAACAGTTCTCTGCTCCATACAAGTTTCTAGAAGCTGGGGGGCTGAAAAGGAAGCTGGGCTGCTTCATCACCCCTCCTTAGTTAGCCAAGCATCAGCGAGGTCTGCTGAGAACTGGTGTACACAGGCGATCTTAGAAGAGAGGTGATAGATCCTTCCTTCCCAGCTCATCTGTGGCTTCCTTCAAATTCCAAGTGATCTTTCCCGCCTTCCGGTCTCTGTGCTCACTTCCCCTCAGCCTGGATCATTTCCCCATGGTCTTTTGAGTGTCTACCTCACGGGTCTCACCCTTCAGGGCTAAGATCAAACATCCCCACATGTTCTCTGATTCCCTAACCCAGAGTTGGCCTCCCACTTTTCCTTTATATAACCTGGGATCTCCTTTAAGCAAGGAGCACTAACCCCGATTATTCTGTTAAAGTTCATGAGGTCAGGGGACCATCTATTCAACCAGTCTCTCCAGGACCCTTCAGGGTCCGACAGGTGATCTGTAAACACTGAGCAACTGTACAGATCTGTTAGGACTGTACTAACAGAACAGACACAGTCTGGGCTGAATTCATCACTGCAGATTCATTAACAGTACTGTCTTCTTTAGAAGACAGCACATTTCCCAGGACTCCTAGAACTTGAGCTCCACTGGCACAGGAACCACTATGCTAACTGGAGCTGTCCAACACGCATCCATTTACATCCTCACTGCAACAGAACGTCACCTGCTGCAGGGGGCCGCCTATCCAGACTGCCCTGAGCCCAGTGACCAGAGCACAGTGACATGAGCCCAGTGACCTGGCCACAGTCTGGAGCTGAGGCAGGAGGATGGCAAGTTCAGGGCCACCTGGTCATCCAGACCAGGCTCTGTGTGACATGGACCACAGTGTCCTTGGAGACGACCCCGTGTCAGTGACGTGGACCATGGTGTCCTTGGAGACGACCCCGTGTCAGTGACGTGGACCATGGTGTCCTTGGAGACGACCCCGTGTCAGTGACGTGGACCATGGTGTCCTTGGAGACGACCCCGTGTCAGTGACGTGACCATGGTGTCCTTGGAGGCGACCCCGTGTCTGTGACATGGAGACCGGCGGCTCTAGGCCTGGCCGCCCCTGAGCCCACGGAGCAGGCGAGTTCCCACGGCCATCAGCGGCCCCCGCCCCCCGCGTGCTCCCTCCTCCGCTCCTAGCGCTTTTCCTCCCCCTTCCCCCTCCCCCGTCCGCCCGCCCCAAGGTCACCCCGGAGCGGCTTCCCGCCCCGCCCGGGCACCCACCGACAGTCTTCGGAGAGCTCCGGGTGAGAAAATCTCCGACTCCGAGTCGAGCGCCGGCGCGGCGGCCACACAGCGCGGTCAGCGCAGAGATAGAAGCCCGCTGCAGCAGGCTCATGGCCGCCATGGCGACTGCGGGCACGGGAGGAAGCGAGCGACGGGAGCCGGGAAGGCCAACCTACCAGCGAGACCGAACGGGGAAGGCGGCCATGTTGAGTGAGGGCAGGGGCCTGTTCCTGTTCTCCTCATCCATCGCGCGCATCAACGGAAGTGACGACATGGTCGAGAGGCCGCGTAAGGAGCCCAGAGGGTCACTGGGCCAAGGAGGGCAGCCATTTTGAAAAAGGGCATGAGCCTGTTCCTGTTTCCTCCACCACGGGGGCGTGATGACGGAAGTGACGACACGATGGGCGGAAACACGGTGGCCTTCTTGGGAATCATGGCTGCCACCAGTCTGGCGGGTCTTTGTAGAAGGCTCTCGGCGTGCCTGAAGGCTTCCGGCCCCCTCGTATATCCCAGCGGCCCTGCTCGTTCGGGGTAGGTGAGGGAGGAGGAGGGCTGTGCCCTTCGCCGCCCGTCCTGCTGGGCCGGAGGGCGCGGGGACTGCGGGGCTCGGCCGAGGCCGGGAAGGCTGCAGCGAGGGCACAGGAAAGGGTCCGCTCTCCCGCTCCTTCTGGCCTTCAGCAGACCGACCTTCGCGGAGGTAGCATGCAGGCGGGTGAGGATGGGCAGCCGGAGGCGGTGCGAACTTGTCTACACCAACCATGTTCTTTAAGGCGTCACCACTTGTCTACAACGGGCTGAGCTTGTAGATCGAATACCTCCGATTTTTATCTTTCAATTTTACTATTTTTATAGTATGTGCATGAATGTGTTGCCTGCAGTCTGCACGTGTGTAAGTGCACCCGTGTCATAAGAGAATTTCATATCCCCTGGAACTGGAGTTATGGATGGTTGTTAGCTGCCTCGTGAGTGCTGCTGGGAATCGAACCCGGGTCCTCTGCAAGAGCAGCCATCTCTTAACCGCTGAGCATCCCTCCAGCTTCTTACCCCTGATTTCTAAAGGAAGAGAGATCCGTGTGCAGTTGTATGCACAGCCGTTCGGCATCTGTTGTGGTCAGTACTACAGCGTGCGCTAACCTGAGTAGCAGGTTTATGTGTTCGGAGGTGGCAGACTTGAATCCGTGGATCTTGACTTTCATCATCGTCCTTTCCTTTAAAATGAAGTCATTTTTACCATCGGCTCCCGTTGTTCAGACACACATCTGTGTTTACCATGGTTTTCCCAAATGGTTTTTAAAATGTCGAACTAATAGAAAAGTCGTTAGAGTAAAGCGGTAACCACACACAATTCATCTGCATTAACCGGTCACCAGCATCCTGTCACATTTCCCAGATCTCCATGTTTATGCTCCTTTTCTGCATTGTTTGACAGATGCCACACTTCAAACATAAGGAGCTTCCTTACCCGAGGCTCACACTCGGGAAACACGCCGGTCCCCTTTAGCATCCGTCCCACCTGACAGTTGTCCTCGTCGCTTTACTGATTTCTTTGCTCTCTCCATTCTCTCCTTTTCCTTCAGGATCCAGTACAAGATCATTTATTTCATTTGTTGTCAAATTCACGATAGTGGCGATTTTGCTAAGATTAGCCTCTTTTGGTGATCCGTAGCATTTGATTATTTCCTTATGTGTGGATTCTATGTAAAGACACTTGGAAGAAAGAAAGCACTGATGCTTTCACGTTTTGTTTTTAGGTCATTTTACCAGGTATTAACTTTTTTAGATACATAATTTCTAAATTACTGCATAATAGACTTTCATGCAGCTGTGCAATAAAGGTCATTTTACCAGGTATTAACTTTTTTAGATACATAATTTCTAAATTACTGCATAATAGACTTTCATGCAGCTGTGCAATAAAGGTCATTTTACCAGGTATTAACTTTTTTAGATACATAATTTCTAAATTACTGCATAATAGACTTTCATGCAGCTGTGCAATAAGTAACCACCCCCTAGTTGTACATGTATGTAATTAACAACTTATAATATCACATTAATACTTTACAGGTCATCTTAGTTTTGAATTCCCATCTCAATTATTTCTTTGGTTAAAATTCTCTTAGTGTGAAATTACTGAGTTGAAGAAAACATTTTGGGTTTCTAATACAAGTTGTAAAATTGACTTTCAGAATGTTTTAAATCAATTGCTCTTAAGAGCATGGAGGAAGCACATTAAAAATAATTGTGGAGCTGGGCGTGGTGGCACACACCTTTAATCCCAGCACTCGGAAGGCAGACAGGCGGATCCTCTGAGTTTGAGGCCAGCCTGGTCTACAGAGTGAGTTCCAGGCAGCTGGAGCTACAGGGAGACTGTCTCCAAAAGACCAAATAAATAAATAAAAATTGTGGGAGCCAGTGAGCTGGCTCAGCAGATAAAAGTGCTTGTTGCTCAAGCCAGACAACCTGAGTTTGATCCCCAGAACCCATGTAATACAAGCTTGGCACAGTGGCATGCACCTGTAATCCCAGTGGACCTGTGGCCAGATGGGAGGAGGAGATAGGAGACCCACCTGGAAGCTTGTAAGCCAGCAAGCCTGGAGTGTGCAACCCAGCAGCATAACCAACAAGGCCCTGCTTCAATGAGGTGGAAGGAGAGAACCAGCTCCCAAAGGTTGTTTCCTGACCCCTGTGTGTGCCACACATGTGTCTGCACTAACACATACACACACTACTATTTCATAAAGTAAATTCAAAAGATACTGTGTAAACTTTTGTCTCTGAAATTATAGGTCACGATCTATACAGAACTGTGTTTAAAAAAAAAAACACGAAAAACACTCTCTAAAGCATTTTAAAAGTTCACAGCTTTGGTGTAAAAACCTTGTGTAGGATTTTTGACACTAGTCGGGAAGTGGTTGGGTATCTTGCTTATAAAATCTGTGTGTTACCAACTTTAGTCATTTCTTCCTTTGCAGGTTTCCTCTTAGCTTGCTACATAAGAACACCCCAGCCGCCACATCTTCCCTGCACTGTAAATCACTTCACACTACATCATCAAGGAAGGGACTAGAAGAATTTTTTGATGACCCAAAGAACTGGGGGGAAGAAAAAGTAAAATCCGGTGAGATTCTTGGAATGGTCGATGTGAACTTACTGAGCGGCAGGCATTTTAGGAATATCCAGTTAGGAATGATTTGTTTCCTTTTCTAAAGTTTCCTTTAAGAAAAACTTAAAAGACCATGGTGCTAATCAAAGAAATTGTTCCTTGGCAAGTTGTCAGCTGTGTAGATGAGGAATGTGTCGACGTTTGCTTTATTTTCCGTGGTTTTCTTAATAATTTGTGGTGATAGAAGATATTGACATTATGGTGTGAAAGCACAACGCCAGCCGTCTATGGATGCCAGTGATCTCACTGATGCTTCAGTGTTGCTGTTTAACTGAATTCTAATCCTAAGACTACAGTATGCTGTTAATACTTTACAGAAGTAGGTTTAGAAAGGATAAGTAGTTTGCCAAGGGTGCGGAGCCAGAAGCATTGACAGATTTCTCTTCTGTGTAGGTGCTTCGTGGACCTGTCAGCAGCTGAGGAACAAAAGTAATGAAGACCTGCATAAGCTCTGGTAGGACTGGCCCGGGCTCAGGGCTGAGGCAGTCAGCTTAACAGCAAGGTCCAAGCGACACCTCTGTGCTAAAAGACTGGGCCAAGTGATCTGTCTCCTGGTCCAGTGGGTAATGCATGTGATGTATGCATCATGAGATTTTCACCAATGTGGCAGAGGCTGGGCTGCATTAGACACATGTCCCAGTTCTACAGACACTGAGTCATGCTAACTCTGGCAATTTCAGGAAACAAACTCAAAGAGATGCAGGAAATGTCTGGTCCCATTTACAGTTCCTCACTTCCTGTCTGTTCATGGCCGGGGCTGTTTAACCTATTACTGGTGGCTGTGTTGAAGGGTGCATTTAATATGCATAGGTGGGTGTTTCTTTCTGGCTGATTCTGGCAATGCTCCCCATGAGTTTGCCAGGGCGGCCTCGATTTCACAGAGCTCCACCTGCCTCTGCCTCCCGAGTGCTTGGACTCAGGGCGTGCACCGACTTCAGGGTGGCATCTCAATGGCCCATATTTAGCCTACGCTGTTTTGTTTAATCCATACTTGTTCTGAGAAGTTTTGCATGAAGTACGCAAACTTTTGGCTTCCCTTGGATGGTCAGTGTATTCCTATGTGGCAGCAGGTGTCAGTCTGGGTAGCGTGCCTGCTCCTACCACCTGCCCCTTCCCAGTCACATCAGGCTGTGTCTGCCGGGCACCTCAGCAGGCATCTAACTTGTATCTCTAATTTGAAAGATTATTTATCTTTCTTGACACATTAAAGAATTGAAGAGTGCTTACACAAACCACTAATGTTACACGTTTGTTACAGAAAATGAGTTTTACTAAAGCCCAGTCTTGATGGTGGGTTATCCGTGAAGGGTTAGGGTTGTTTCACATTCATCGTGCTGAACCACACCAACTCTGCCACTCCGCCCCCCAGACTGACTTCCATAGCGTGTGGTACGTTTTCAGGGCCCTCCGCGGTTACTGCTTTTTCTGCCAACTTTGATTCGGAAACAGATCTATTCACAAAACCTCCTTCCCTCAGCCAGGCAGGTCCGTGCCTCCTGTTACTGCCGGCTTGCTCCCATCCACCCTGACAATACCCGTCTTCAGGTCGCTTTCCCCCTTAGCTCTGGAAGTGTCTCATCTCTCACCCCCTTAATAGTTCTAACATGTCTCTCCCACCCACAGCCACATTGGAAGCAGCACAGCAGGGTAGAGGTGGGGTGTATTGTACTCTACACAGAGGAAGGATCTGCAATCCAGTTAGCTGGGTGGCTCATGACACCTTAGGAAATAAACAGTACCAGCCTCGAAAGGTTGTTAGGGGAAATCGGTGAAATGGCTCAGCACACGTGGGGGAGGGGCAGTGCTCATCAGCACGCTCGGATGCGGCAGAGCTCTGCAGATGTTACTTGTCTTCCTCTCCCCTCCCTTTCCACTGGGATGGAAACTGATGCTCCTGTAACTCCCAGCCTCGCATATTAATGAATATTCAGCAGATGGTTCTTGTGATGGCGCTCTGTGAGATTTCCTGAAGGACTTGGAAGTGAACACACTGATTTTGACGTTAGGAAATCACAACTTTATGGACATTATCAGGCTGGCATCGTGGCTTTATGTTTCTGATGCAGGTATGTCCTACTGAAAGAGAGAAACATGCTTCTAACTCTGGAGCAGGAGGCCAAGCGACAGAGACTGCCGATGCCCAGTCCAGAGCGGTTGGAAAAGGTAGGCATATGCGGGGCCGAAGGCTCAGCGGCTCTCATGGGGTAAGAGCTGCATGGAGCGTATGATCCTGTGCTGCTTTCAGACAGATTTTTTCCTATTGCTGTGTGAAGTGAAGTGAGTTTACCCAGTGCGTAAACATTTCAGCAACTCCCGCGTGGACGCTTGTCGCACCTCAGTTCTAGTTGGGTTACGGCTGCTTCGTTTTGGCTTTTTGCCCTCAGAGGTCAGAAGAGGTGTTGGATCCCCAGGAACTGGAGTTACAGTTGTTAGCTGTCATCGGGGTGCTGGGACTCGAACCCAGGTCCTCTGTAAGAGCAGTCAGTGCTCTTAACCACTGAGCTGTCTCTCCAGCCCATTTTGTTTTTCACTTTACATAACATGAGGTGCACAGAATTACATGAACAATGACTGTAAAGACTTGTCACGTGCCCTCACCGACTCCATGTATGAATACCCTGTGTCTGTCAGCCTGCTTTCTCACCTCCCCACAGTTGTCTTGTTTGACAGTTAGTAGATGTTTCATGTCCAGTTTTCCAAACAAACAACAGTGTTCTCTTAAATAACCACATATAATCTTTAAATCGGGAATTTAACATGGATGTAATAGTATAATCTACAGTGTATAGATCTTATCTCGATTGTATCAAGTATATCTTAACAACGTTCTGGATGGCAGAATCCCAGATCGTGGGCTTCCAGTTCTTGTGACTTTGTGATGTTGTCATCCCCTTTAATCCAGAGTCTTGACAAGGGCATCTATGAAGAGTACAGGCCCATCCCTCAATTTAGGACTGCAGATGTTTCTCATGAGCTAGACAGGCTGGCTGGGCTTGGTGCGATCCCAGCACTCAGGAGGCTGAAGCAGGAGGATGACAATTTCCAGGCTAGCCTGGACTACACACACAGTAAGATCCTGTCTCAGGAAAAACCTCCCTGGGCAGGAGTGATTGAAAGGGCGCAAGGCACCGAGGTGTGGAAACACTGCTGTGGTTGCATGAATGAGCGCCTCCTTTCAGAATTACCTTAAGGGCATGCAGACATCCTGTAACTCAACTTGGACTGGACATTTTAGCGTCCACCCATGAGTCTTTCCTGAATCTATTGAATCTGCTGTGACTGTCTAGTCCTGACAGTCTGTGTTCGCTGGCTGGCTGGCTACCTTCTGTTGGAGGCAGCCTTGCCTTCTCCGTCCTGTCCCCACTCAAATGATCGCATGTTGTAAGACTTTGAAGTTAGTAGATATCCCTTTCCAGGCTCTCCTAAGTATGTATTTCAGACAAGCTTCAGCCCAGTAGGTCATAAGGACTCTGCTTTTGAATTAGCGGAATATAAAATAATAAAGTTTACTTCAAAGAAACTGAAAACTGACAGTAATCATGTTTTTCTTCCTTATTTTTTTGACATGGTCTCCCTATGTAGCCCACCTGGCTTAGAACTCACTAGGTAGCTCAGGTTGGCCTCAGACTCCTATCTCAGCCTCTTGAGTGCTGAGGTTACAAGCACATGCCACTGTGCTCGGCTAATCACACATGTTGTAATGTGTGTGGAGGTCAAGGACAACACTGGGTGCTATCCTCACCTTCTCCACTTAAGACGCAGTTTGCTACTGCGTATGGCAGGTGAGCTGACCGAGAGCTAAGGAGGACTGTCCTGTGTGGCCTCCCATCTGGCCACCAGAGCTGGGATCACACGTGTACCTCCACACCCACCATTTCCTGGGTTCTGGGCATCTGAGCACGTCACTCTCTGAGCCATCTCCACACCCTGATCTTAACGTGTTTTTATAAAGAGCAATTTTAAACTTATACTACATTCATGTATTGTGTGTGTACATGGGATGTGTGTCCACAGGCACGTGGTGAACGTGTGGAGGTCAAAAGACAACTTGCAGGAGTTGGCGTTTTCTTTGACCATGTGGGCTGAACTGGAACTCAGGTTGTTGTCTCGTGGAGGCAAGCATCTCCATCTGAGCCCAGTGAGCCATATTACCAGCCCCTAACTGTGTCTAGTGTTCCCAGTGTTCTAGGGTGAACCACCAAGGACACTGTCAAGCAGAAATAAAAACTTGCAAATAGAAGATAGAAACTGAAGATCTGGAACTCTTAGGGAAGGTAAAAGCTCAGGATTGCAGTGGGGTGTGACTCTTACCCTTGGGTGGGTCTGGACTGAGATCCAGTTCCAGCATATCACAGCTGAGTTTTAGAAATCCGGTAGGGTGGAGGAAGAATTTGCTGTCCTGCAGAGTAGTGACTGGAGTCATTAGGACCCACTGAGATGGAGACCCAGACTGGTTCTCTTCAGAGCGTGAAGGCCTATGATCATACAGTATGTGAGTTCTGTTACAGTACAGGGACAGGGTAAGTGGAAAAGGTGGGTTATAATTTTAGATGTGCATTTCTCAGGCCCGTAAACTCCAGCTGCTCTCTGGAGTTCATTTCTGTCTACAGCTAGAGAAAGCTCAGTGCTCCAAGAGTTCAGTCCATCAGAGGACATCTCTAAACAAATGCAGAGTTCTGTGTTCTCGTCCTCAAATCACCACAGAATGTGGTCAGAAAGGGAAGTGCGCAGTAGACGTTCCAACACTCACTTCTTGCATCTTGGTGCATCTTTGGGTTAATGTCCGGGTCATCACCTTCCCTGGGAGACACTGACAGGCAGCCAGCATGTCTGTGGCATGTGGAGAGCACTGACGGTAAAGGCGAGCACGCTGTGTAGTCTGACAGAGTGAGTGTCGGCACTTCGAAAGTCTGTCCCGCTCTAACAGGACTGGAACTCCAAGATAAACCAATTTTTATAGAAGTGCAGTGAGAAGTTCCAGAAAGTGGTGTGTACACCGTGTGCACATGCCTGTGCCAGGTTTCTCAGGAAGTGCTTGGAAGCCCAGTTTCTAGTAAGAATCTTCACCAGGATCTCCTGCCACACGTCTTTCTGTCCTGGTCTCTTGGAGCGCTGTTATGGCAGGTGCAGAACTTGGCTTTGTCTCGTCTTCCTCCAGGTGGTCGAGTCCATGGATGCATTAGATAAAGTTGTCCAGGAGAGAGAAGATGCTTTGAGGCTCCTTCAGACTGGTCAAGAAAAAGCGAGGCCTGGCGCCTGGAGGAGAGACATCTTTGGAAGAGTCATCTGGTGCGTGGTCAGCCAACTCTCCTGAGAGCGATCAGCTGCCTCCCTCCCCTACCCAGTATCTTTTAAAAACTCCGCCCATGTGAGAGGCATTAGAGATCTTGTGTTCAGAACGGTAGGATATGAGTGAAAGTTACTTAGGCAAAACCAACTCCAGCCAAGGCAGCCGCTCCCACCACCCACTTACAGATACATCAGTTCCTCCTAGCAGGCTCTTGTGTGACTCATAGGACCTTTCAAAGAACTCCACGCAAGGATGGGTATTCCACCAGGACAATATGCATATACACATGTGATTTCAGATTATAAAATTCAGAAAGCCAGTTTCAGGGTGCACTCTGCCCTCTTGGCCCAGTAAGAACCTGGGACTCCCAGAGTCTGGAAGGACAGGTCATGGTCACAGAGGCAGTCTCTGTTGGTTCCTTTTACCAGCAGGCGCAGCCCCAGGCTGAGTTGTGAACAGTTTGCCTCCTTTGGTTCTAGAGTCACCAGACACTGGGGAGGGATGGTCTCAGCACACACTGAGGTATAACTGAGGGAGGACAGGGATCAGTGGCTCCTCGGCATGTATTTATATTCATCAGTGTCTTCGTGTGAGTCAGCAGGTGGAGAGGGCGCTGGGGCACGTAGGCATGTTCCCTGAACTCAAACTGCTCAAACAGCAGTCTGGAATTAGAGCTGTCTGCAGAGATTGCTGAAAGAGCCCATGGAAACCTTTTCCTAGGTCGGGTGTCATGCTACTCTTCAGACTGCAAAAGTTTGTAATTCCACTAATCTTTTTTTAAAAACTTTTTAGTCCTTTAAAATAAGTTTACTTCCGTATGTGTGGAGGTCTGAGGACAGTTTTCAGGAGCCCCCCCCTCTCCACCATGGATTGACCTCAAGTAGTCAGGCTTGGTGGCAACCACCTTCGTTACCTCCTGAGCACCTCACCGAACCCATTTTCTAGTAATTTTTATCTGATTTGAGGACAGTTAGGGAAATGGAAAGTGGAAGTAAAACGTGGTTTTTGATGCAGCGGTGACTTTCTGCTCTCCTGGCAGGCACAAGTTCAAGCAGTGGCCCCTGCCGTGGCACCTGAATAAAAGGTACAACAGGAAACGGTTCTTCGCGATGCCGTACGTGGACCGTTTTGTCAGGTGAGTGCAACTACCTTGACCGTGGAGCAGCGTACGCCGCGGCAGGAAGGCAAGCCTTCTCTACTCTTTGATCTGTTCCTAAGTGGTATGTGTTCATTATACAAATAAATAGAGGACGAGACCAGAAAAGGGAAGCGAAGTTGTAATCTTGCCATCCTGAAGCAGCCATGGTTGGCAGTGCTGTGTGTCTTTAGATGCTGTCTGACTCTTCTGTACGTCTGTCTGTAAATGAGGCACATCCTGCTGTACAGAGGAAACACACGCTTGTTTCTGCTGATGGAAGGGGGAGGCATCTGCTGCCCTCTGAGTTCATGCTGTGCTGAAGGGTGGGCTCTGGCTTCAAGTGTTTCCAGTGGCTGAGTCTGCACTGTCTGCATGGGGTGGAGAGAAGACACTGCCTCCGTTCAGTGTTAGAGCGGAGCTGCCCCAGGAACCCCAGCTGGTATTTACAGGAACTAAGGAAGACTTTTTTTGTGGTCTTTTTGAGACAGGGTCTTTCCTGTAACCCCAGCTGGCCTGGCCTTCACTATGTAGACCAGGCTGGCCTCGAACTTAACAGAGATCTGACTGCCTCTGAGCTCCCAAGTGCTGGGACTAAAGGCATGCATCACCACCATCTAGTTAAAACACTGAACCCACGTCCAAAAAACAGACAAACCAGAAGACTGTAATTCCCCAAACTGTAGTTTGACTGGAGAATTACAGGTCTGTTTCTGACTCCCATGGCTGGGATGGAGAGGGTTCCCGCCTAAAGGTGGTGGCGGCAGAACGAGGCTGGGAAAGCTCAGGGCGCAACAGCTGGCATGCTGTAGCCCAGCACTGGGGAGGCCGATGCAGCAGGTGGTGCCCAGGCTGGTTCACCGTCTCCACTGTAAAAAGGCCTTGCCCCATTCTGACACTTTCTGGCCTCAGCAAGGGTTCTTCACAGACTGATGTTCCCCTCAGAACTTGTTTCCACACAAAAGAAAAGCAAATTCATTTTCCTATTTATGACATTTAGTGCACGCTGTGCAAGTTCCACAATGCATGAGTGGCTGGAGGGCAGTGTGCAGGGCTTTACCGTGAACGTTCTGGGATCCAACTCAGGACATAGGGTTTGGCAGCAAGCACCTTTACATTTACATGCTGAGCCATCTCTCCAGGCTGAGCACTAAAGCGTTTCATAAATTCCAGAATCCGTTTACTCTTCCTGAGGCCCTCTGCACCACATGGGCACCACACGGGCCGCCCGTCATGCTCTGGGTCCTCTGCGGCCTCAGATCTGGCTTTTCCCTCCACCTTCCAGTACAGCCCTCACCAAACTCAACACCATCCTGACTCCTGGCCATTTTAACGTGGATTCACAATTTTCAGACCTTTTATGGTGTTTATTTGTCCACTCTACTGCCCGGCCTGCAGCATGTCACCTACTTCTCAATGCCAAGCAGCTACAGCTGCTGCGTCCTCCACGATCAAGTACACGGTTGGGGTGCTGTGGACACCAGACCTCGTGTGTTTGCAGCGCTCCTTAGTGAAGCTTACTATATACATGCACTCTTGGGGCGGTTATGGGGGCCACCGTGGCTGGCCTGGGCATACTCTGACAGTGGAAAACAAAGTCCTACTTTGGTTACTGCTGTGCTCTTGTTCTAGGCTGCGACTCGAGAAGCAAGCCCGCATTGAAGCACGAAAGAAAAGTTTACAGAGGAAGAAAGAGAAAATTCTCCAGGAAAAGTTCCCACATCTCTCTGAGGCCCGGAAGTCTAGTGCTGTCTAGGATGAGCTCCAAGAGTGCTTATGTCTTCCTACGTCTGCCTGTCTTGAAGTAAATACATATGTGAAGTGGTTTATAAAGACTTGTTCTGTTAGGAGCACTGGCTGCTCTTGTAGAGGACCCAGGTTTGATTCCCAGCACCCACATGGCAGCTAACAACTGTCCTAACTCCAGTTCCAGAGGATCCAGAGCCCTCTTTCTGACTTCCAAGGGCATTGCATGACACGGGTGCCCTTGCACACATGCAGGCAAAACACATGTAGAATAAAAATAAAAGGCTTGTTCTCGCTCACGGGACATCAGTTCTCAGTGGCCAGTGTGGCGTGTTTCTATGGTTCCAGCAGCTCCTTCAGATCCTGCAGAGAGCTCAGGTGACACGGACTGCCAGGGTCCAGTAAAGCCAGCACTGGTTAGAGTGGCGCTGCAGCCCAGGTCAGGGCAGGAAGCCAGCTCTGGAGTGCACCCTCACACTGCTGCTATATTCAGAAGCGGGACAGCGTGGACACTGTTAGTAAGGAGGAATACTCTAACCAAAATAATGGTAAGTGCCACCGTGAAGGCATCAATCCCAACATAAACAGTCCAAACTACAGTTCTGGAATGAGTAGTGATTTTTATTTAGTTTTGTAAGCCTAAGGTCAAAAGCATAGGCAGTAACTTTTACTAGTCAATAAAAAGCAATCCCACCAACCTCCGGGTGAGCTGGGAGTACTGAAAGCAAAGTACTTAGAGAAAATAGACATTCATACAAAATTATAAAATGCTTGTAATAAGAATAAGTGCATTTCAAGGAAAGCACAAACTCATTTTAATTTATAGAGCCAGTTAAAGCCTTAAAAAATTGTAAGTGGAAATTGAAATATGCAAACACGTATAAACATTCTACAAAAGATGGTGGTTTCCTGAGTGCACTACCGCGGCAGTGAGGAGCGGCGATCAGGGGCACTTCCTCTCCACGCACTGCTTGCCCCCCTCCTCGTACTCCTGCTTGGAAATCCACATCTGCTGGAAGGTTCCCTGTAGGGTAGAAACAGCGTGTGGTACCCGCCCCTCAGCTCTTAGCATCACCTGGTACCCTGCCCTGTCAAGGCACTATACTCAAGTATCTGACAACTCCCTCCCCAAGAACAGTGCCCACCACTCTGCCGCTTCTAAAACCAGCCTTAGACCGCTGAAGCCTCGACACCTGTTGCACTGCACTGAGCTTAGAAGACCAAAGTCAGGAAGGGTCAGCCAGGTGGCTTGCCGCATCTATAGCATGATGGAGACTACCTGGGCCCAAGTGCATTTACTTCTGCTCTTTGGAGGTCAAGGGGACTGGTCTCCTGAGGCTCACAAGGCCATCTCCTGATTCAAGACCAGCACCATGGTCTCACAGGCCCCAAGAACCAGCTTCTGACGGCCTCACCAACATCTGGGCACCACCGAGACTTTGAACAGGAATGGCTAACATTATATGCACTGTATGAGGCCTGCCCAGAACATGCAGTGTGTCAGACGCAGAGGCACGACTGTGTTCATAGTTCTACCCATCTGAAAGGAGAAACCCAGTGTATACTGACAGACGTCCACTAAGACGAGGTGTTTTCTTGTATTAGAACAGACGGGTGCCGTGCAGGCCTGTGATCCCAGCACTAGGAGGCTGAGGCTGGACGACTGCAAGCTTGAGCCAACTGTAGTCTCCCTGTAGTCGCATACATGTGTATATGCATAAGCTAGTGACTGCCTCCACTCTGGCAGTTAGACACGCAAGAGTAAAGCACTGGGGTTGTTTTTTACTAAATCTGGTATTTTTGGTGCTATATTTAAGCCAATTAAGAATGTTCATTTTGGGAGCTGGAGGGATGGCTCAGTGGTTAAGAGCACTGGCTGCTCTTGCAGAGGACCCGGGTTCCATTCCCACCACCCACGTGGCAGCTAAATAACCATTTGAAACTCCAGTTCCAGGGGCTCCGACACCCTCTTCCGACAACACGGTGCACTCCCATGCAGGCAGTTCACTCATACACATAAAATAAAAATATTTTTTAAAGAGTATTTTTATATAATAGTTTACTAACCAAAGACGCTAAAATGGAGCCACCAATCCAGGAACTGAATCTCCGCTCCACTGTCGTGTTGTTTGCGATGAGTTTCAGCCGCATGCTCTGCAACAGAGAAAGGTCAGAACAGCAGAGCCTGGGCTCAGTCCACACCGCGAGGCTTCAGTGTCCCGTGGCCTGGAAGCTGCTGACTGAAGATTGGAGCTAGCACACGGCCAGGCTCAGAGCAGGCACAACTTAGGCTACTTCACAGGAAGGTTCTTAAAGAACACGTAGTAAGAAAACAAACCGTAGAAGCGTTAGGAAGATGGGGAATTACAGGCATGTAACACTGTGCCAGGTCGGAAAAAATCCTGGACTCCAAGCACTGAAACCTGCATGTCATGGTGCTGTTAACTCATTCAGTAGCTTCCGTGACACCACCCGTGGACCTTGATTTTCTTCAGCAATAAAGATGGGTCAGATAGAGATCTTTGTCTTTTCTCTTGAACATATTTACGATGGCTCTTTAAGTTTTACTTATAATCTCACTTAACGATACAACGATTTACATATGCGTGTAACTCCCAACAACCATAACGAATTGGCACAAAAAGCAGTAAGACAGCCAGCCCGTTTTAGGACACTCAAAGGAGCACGCTCACAGTGTGCCCTATGATGGAGAAGCACCTCAGGGTGCGCCTGCTCCCTGCTCTTCACATCACCTCCATCCCAAGTCTGCCCCACCCCTCACTATCCCAGCCCTTCTAAATCAAGATGCAGGGGTGAGATCTCAGGTTTTCATCACACTGCTTGCCTTCCATATTTCTGCTTCTGCCAAGCATGGAGGTCCTGCAACCCCAGCACTACGGAGCCCAGGGTGGAAGACTGCTACCAGTTGGGGCCAGCCTGGTCTGTATAAGGTGTTCCAGACCAGACCAGTGTGACTATGGGGTAAGACCCTGTCTCAGAAAACCAAAGATCACTACTTCTGTTTTAAACACTGTAGCACAGGAGGAACTTGTGGTCCTCTTGCCTTCTCCTCCAGCAGCCAGATGACAGATCTGCACCGTCAAGCGTGGCCCAGTACAGTCTCCACCTCCCTTTCATCAAGAGATGTTCCCTCCCTAGGAGCCTTTCTCTGGGGTTGCTCCTACAGGTCACCCTACATAAACACCTATGTGGAGTGGCAGGGTGCTGGGGTGTCAGCGGCAGACACACACGGGAAGGAGAACACTGCGACAAGATGAAACCTGACATTTTCCCTAACTTTAATCACACAATGGACACTGGTTTCTATATTAAAGATTTATCTCATCACTATAAATTGTGTGTGTGTGTGTGTGTGTGTGTACATATTCATGCACACATGGGGGAGTCTAGGTGCCTGTGGAGTCCAGGAGAGGGTGTTGGATTCTCTGGAGCTGGAAAAATTGGCGACTGTGAGCACCAGCATGGGTGCCAGGAACTGAACTTGGTCCTCTGGAAGTGCAGTGCGTGCCATCTCTGGATTACCCATGCCTCTGTTCGTATTCGGGGTGTTCTATGAAACCTAGTGGTCAGAACTGTCACCACACATGGACTGTAGATCAGACTCTTTTCTCCAAGAACGCAGATGTCAATCATGTTAACTGGATCAACACTCCAATAGCACTTTTAACTGTACACATACAGCTGTGTAAAACATAAGCCAAAAGACAGGCAAATTCTACAGACAATATTAAGCCCCATGTGATTGATTCCTTTTAAGTATGAACATTATGCCTGTCATTACTGATAAACGCTGTAAACCACCTTCCAGATTCTCCTCTGAAAACGACTGCAGTGTACCCGGTGACTGTGCCATGGAGAACCAGAGGAAGAGATCCACGATGGCCTCTGGCCTCTGAACACCTGTGCACACACACTCAAACACTGACGAGAAGGACAGATTCTGGTTCAGAAGAGAAGCCCATCTAGGAAATCCTGGCTGCTGAGGGCACCACATCATACGCACAGGACACCACAGGGAAAGCGCAGAGTCAAGCGGAACTTACCGGGGGAGTCTTCTGAGAAAGCTCTCTGTTGAGCCTGTCAGTGAAACTCTGTATGAGCGTATTGCCCCCCGCTACAATCACACTGCCATACAGGCCCTAGGACAGACAGGACAGAAAGTCAAACACGTCCAGTGCTTCCCAGTTTCATGATGCTGTTTGGTGCTGTTGAACCCAAGTTCCCAACCAAGTCATGGCAGCTGGGAGCACAAGCCAGTAATTCCAGTGCTCCAGGGGCTGAGGCAGAAGGAGTACAAATTTGAGGTCAGCCTGGGCTACACAGTGAGATACTGTCTTTTAAAAAAAAGGCCAGCTGGGTGTGGTGGCACATGCCTTAATCACAGTACTTGGGAGGCAGAAGTAGGTAGGTCTCTGTGAGTTCAAGTTCAGCCTGGTCTACACAGTGAGCCCCACTGTTTCCTTTCTATAGAACCAGTGACCTGACGCTATGCCTCTCCATGTTGGTATTACTGGCTTGCCTGGGAGCGTTCCTGCATACCAGCTTCGCACAAGTAAGACTCCAGACTCAAGTGTGCACCCTGCCTAAAAAACCACTAACTTTGGGTGCATGTATGCCATGGCACATGCGTGGAGGTCAGAGGGTAACTTGTGGGAGTCGGTTCTCTTTCCATCTTGTGGGTGCTGGGGTTTGAACTCAGGTTGTTGGGCTTCGGTGACAGACACCTTTACCCACTGAGACATCATGCCAGCCCAAGGGCCACTAACTTAAAAAGTTATTCTAAACTTCGTAAAATTTTCAGGAGACAGCTGCTAACATTAGAGGTACGTTTTATAATAACTTCATCTTCGAATGTTCATCTGAAAAGTTGTGATATTTAAAGTTAGATGAGACCATTTCATGATCAGGACAGATGAGACACTTTGGAAACCGTCCCAGCCAAAACATGATCTTTCTCCTCAGCAGGGCTGTGTGGAAACTTTTTCAGGCCAGACTGCAGCCGCCCAAATCAAACAGTTCCTGCTTACAGGGCAGATACTTCTAATCTGAAAGTCCGTACAGGAGAGCTAAGTGCCAGCTGCTTTGTAAATGGCTGTGTTCTTATTTTAAAATCTATTCCGAGCATCTAGATCATCTACATTTTTAACTTTTTTATTTTTCAACGTGTCTATGTGTTCTGCGTGCATGTATCTAAGTGCACCATGTGTGAGAAATGCCCGTGGGGGCCAGAAGAGGTCAGAAGAGGGAGTCCGATCCCCTGAAACTGGAGTTACAGATAGTTGTTAGCTGCTATGCGGGTGCTGGGAACTGAACCTGGGTCTTCTGCAAGAGCAGCCAGTGCGCTTAACTGCTGAACCATCTCTCCAGCTCCTAAATCATCTCAATTTTTAAACAGAAAATGCAAAAGTGCCTCATCTGCAATTAAGACCAAACCAACAGGAGACACTTCAGTAAGAGCAGCTCTCACTCCTCCATGTCCTTCGGCTGTTGCCCTGAGCAGCCCTGGACTTGACAAGGACTTCAGCTGAGGAGAACCCTTCGTCTTTCACTGTCACTGTGGCCGGAGCCACTCTGGGTGGCTCACAGTTCTGCTCGTTCCTCTGCTGGGGCTCCATTTCCTTACGTATGCTACTATAAAACGGCCTTCGGAGAAAGTGGAGAAAGCTGCCAGCCCAAAAGTTACCTTGGGGCACTTCAGGGCTGTCAGAGACACGAGAAGAGGAAACGGGTACTTACTGGTCTGATGTCAATGTCACACATTCCAACACTTGTGGTGACGACATGACTGACTCCCAGCATGGTATTTCCAGATAAGCCCTAGAACGGGAGACAGAGTGAGCGTTCACAGGGAAAACCTGCGTCGCAAAGCCCAATCTGCCAACATCAGCCTCTCTCAGGCTCTCTAATCACACGGACGCTCTGCACAGGAAAAACCACGCCAGTCACAAAACCAGCTTTTGTACCTTCACATTGGAAGGATCAAATAACCCCTCGGGGATCTTCAGCCTCTCGGCACCGAAGTCACAGTTGTAACCGTTGGGGAATTCATAGTGGACCGTAGGCATCTGTGCCGCCACTCTGAAAACATGAGACGCTGCTTCAAGTGAGGCAAAAACAACCTCTCCTCAGAATTACAAACCACTAAGAGCTGCCAATCTCTACGAAATTCAGAATATCTAAAAGTAGCAGTCAGCACACACTTTGTACTTTCAGGCTAAACACATTCTAGAACTCTCTAAAATGAAAGAGAAAATCATTCTGAAGCAGAGAAGACATACTGTTCATCGTAAGTGGAGTCCGACACTTGAAGAACCGAGGCCTGGAAGTCCTGGATGACACACTAGGATGAAAAGATGAAGGAACAAGGTTGGAATCCACCTCTGGCATCTACACAATAGGCTTTCAAGCTGACAGTCTGCCACCTGAGATCAGACCAGTTTGGGGTAGTGAGTAATCTGAAGAGCATTAACTCTACCAGCAAGAGACCCAATTCTGCACATGCACAGGAGAGTTTACAGCTGAGAGCATAAATCAAATACGTCTGTAACTTTAATGTGCCAATTACATCATCTAAACTGCAACATTTAAGGAACAAAACCAAGAGGCAGAAACAACTGGTAGCCAACCCAGGGTCCTGCCAAACCAGCCAGCCCCCAGCAGCTGTTCCTCAGAAACAGCATGGATTTAAAAGCCACATTGCCATTACCTGCACATACATACATGCTAAGATACCACATTTTACATAAAAACTGTAATGACTACATATAAAAGTTAAACTTTTTGCTGTGAAATGTACATGACCTATAAGCTGATAAGGAAAAATTTGGCCTAAAATCTAAGTAAAACTTTAATCCTCACAATTCTTCATGTCCTTACACACAGTGTAGGTACCCAATGCTCAGAGTCCACTCTTCAACTCCTACACCCCTTTACTACATTATGTATGGGATGGCAGACTGTTTTACCACCTCCACCATACCCAGGTCTACACATTCAGACAGATTTTTGGTAAAGGTCTCTCTCTCACTGGCTCATTGCTAAAGCCGTCACACACGTCTGATTAATGCTGGAGAGACATACCCAAGCTGTACTAGAAGGTTCTACACAAACTCACTCACTTTCCTATCCCCCCCGCAAAAAAAACCAGTGCAAAAGAGCAAAACACTCACTCGTTCCTACCCTAAAACCGAAACTCCCACTCTCACCAGCATCAAGCTGTCTGCAGAGACCGTTTCACTAACATGGAAGGTACTCTGCAGCCAAGCTGCTAATTTTGTCACATATCATTAAAATAGAGAATCTGAGGGGCTGGAGAGCTGCTCAGCAGTTAAAAGCACTGGCTGCTCTTGCAGAGGACCTAGATTCGGTCCCCAGCACCCACATGACAGCTAACAACCACATTAACTCCAGTTCCGGGGGATCTGATGCCCTCTCCTGGTCTCTGTAGGTATTGCATGACACGGGTGCACTTACATATATGCAGACAAAACAGCCATACATATGAAAATACCCAATTTCTAAATTATATGTATAGAACTTGAAATATAAAGTCCCCATATTCTATACAAGGACTTAACACTAGTCAAATGAAAGGCCACATACATTACACATGTAATTGTGCCAAGACCTTGTGACCTGGGGCAATTTCTCTTTTCTTTTCCAGTTTGCTGGAGAGCCTTCTCGAACAGCCTCCTGAAAACCAAGAGCACATACTAAGTTAATAGACTTGCCATCACAGGAAGGGCCCAGAGCTCACTAGAAACCCCCTCAGTCCTTACCTTTGCTGCAATCATGTATGGAGGAATCAGCTCTATGTTCATCTCCTGGAAGAGCTCTCTGCACTGCATGGTGATGAAGTCTCCCGCAAGAGGGGATTTCACAATGCCTGAGAATCAAACCAACAAGGCTGAAAGAGCAGCAGGTCCGAATTCCTCACTCAACACAGATCTGCACTGTGAACGTGTTTACATGGGGAGCTTCTCAAGTAGCAGTAACTAAACTGTCCTGTCAAAGCAGAAAGCCATCAGTGTAAGACACAACATACACTGACGATTTAAACATACTCATAGTAAAAACAGTACTTGGGATCAGCATGCTCCAACAGTCCAGTTCCTGTTCTGTCTGCATTAACTGCCTCCTGATAGGGAGGGTCCCCCTGCCCGGTGAGGGAGTTACCTTGCTGCAGAACATAGCCATCGTGGACTGGGATTGCAGTGGTGTGTGTGGCTCCACTGTCCAGAATCAGCCCAGTAGAACGACCATTAGCAAATCTGGTTGAAAATGTTAAGGAAGAAAGCCACAAGGCTCTAAACCAAAATGCACTGTGAAAGGTGGGTGCTCCATGTTTAACCAGAGTTTTTAAACACACACGTTATCATTTAAAGTGTGTTGAAGTAATTCTAGGAAGGAACATCGTGTCATTAATAATTCCACTTAAAAACAAACTTCCACACGACACCGGTGCACTCACATATATGCAGGCAATACACTCATACAAATAAAATTTAAAAACATAAAAATAAAAAAATAAATTGCTAAAAAAACAAAAACAAACTTCCATAGCAGGACTTCCAGAGAGTCTAGGAAGAGCCTTTCCTGGAGCTGGCTGAAATCAGACCGATTGCTGCAAACTTCCAGAGTTTGACCAAAGAATTTTCAATAACCTGGGATGTATTTTAACAAGATTTACAAAACCCTGGCAAGAGCACTGAGGCTGGGGGCCTGAGGTGGGGCCTGTGCTCACTGAGCACTGAGAGCCACTGTGGTTGCTGGGCAGCTGAGGACGACTCCTGTCTCCATCCAGCCAGTAGGAAAGACAAGCAAGTCCGGGTGGACTCAACAGCTGGTGAAAAGGCAGATGCTGCTTCCCTCAGCTGAGTACTGCAGAAGGTCAGGTGCCTAGTGTGGAGCTGAGCCACCCACTGGCTCACAGGATCCTTACTGAGCATCTACTCTGTCCCTCCAGACTCTGGTGGATTGGATAACACGTCAGAGGAAGGAAAGGAGGGACAGAGAATGGGGAAGGAAGAGGCAGAGCAGCCACTAACTCTGCTCAGACAGAAAAGGCCCCAGGCCATCTCTGCCCTGAGGGATGTCCTGTGTAGCAGAGATCAGTTCATGTCCTCATCCAGAAGCAAGGAGACACCTGACCCATTCCTGGAAATCCAGCTATGACCCAGTGGAAACGAGAGAATGTGGTGGTCTGGAGCTACAAGAGAAGTCCGGTCTAAAGCAGAGAGCGAACTCAGGAAAGCCATCCTGGCTTACAGCAGAAGGGCATTTTCAACAGCTTTCAGAAGTACCAGCCCAGCAGCCTACAGAATGGGAAGTTCAATTGGCGTACATCTAATACACACAGAACAAAAAAACGAAACCAGATAAGCAACCTAATCAACAACGGGGTTAATAAAATGAAGACCATTCTTAAAAGATGAATTACCAATGGCCAATAAACATACGCAAAACCGCTTTAACTCCCTAAGCCATCAGAACGCAAATTAAAACCACAGATTTCGAAGCTGGGCATGGTGGTGCACACCTTTAGTCCCAGCACTCGGGAGGCAGAGGCAGGCGGATCTCTGTGAGTTCAAGGCCAGCCTGGTCTACATAGTGAGTCTGAGTTCCAAGACAGCTGGGGCTACAGGGAAGCTGGTACAGAGAAGCTGGTACGGACATGCGGAAGGAGCACCTTTACCCCTACTGCTGGAAAGAATGTGACTTAGGCAGGGCATGGTGGCACACACCTTTAATTCCAGCACTTGGGAAGCAGAGGCAGGTGAATTGAGGCCAGCCTGGTCTACATAGAGAGTTCCAGGACTACAGGGAGACGCTGTCTCAAAAAGACAAAAAAGAAAAAGACAAAGAATATGACTTAGTTCAGCCACCCAGAAAATCAATAAAGAGGTTCTCCAAAAACACAGCACTAGGTATACAGGGAAGACCACACACCTACCCCAGCTCTGCCACTCCTGGGCTGATGCCTGAATGACGGAGACAGCACACTGCAGACACACTGCCCATTTGCCACAGCGGTTCTCATACAGCCAAGTCATGCAGCCAGCTCCTGGTGATGTCAATCAGTGCAGGAGGAGAATGTGGTATGCATGCACAGTGGAGCTTTGCTCCATCCAAAGGAATGAAACTGTGTTGTTTGCTGGGAAACTGGAAATCATCCCAGAAAAATAAGCCAGACATGAAAGACCAACAATGCACATACTGTTATCTGTGGATCCAGGAACTCTTTACAGGTAAGTGTTCACACACACACACACACACACACACACACACACACACACACACACAAACACACACAGAATGGGAAAAGGGACACTACCAGGAGGGAAAAGGAATCTAACGGGAGGAAAGGGGTGAATATGGTCAAAGTCATGATATTTGAAGGACACTGTCTTCATGGAATCCGACACTATGCACAATGAACACGTACCAGGAATAGAACACAGCTCAGAACGTAGCAAAGCTGAAAAGCAGGGAGGGCAGGGTTTCTGCCAGGGCATGTCCGGAGCAGTGTCACCCGCGTGGATGCCACACTGCCCACCGCCCCTTTCTTCTAAGGATACGCTGTCAGGACGGCAGTTTTGCAAAGGAAGAAGGCCGGGATGCTATAGTGCTCAAACATCAGCTCTGTCAGCTTCTCCCTCTTTGCTCTGGTGTTCCACTTGACAAGGACAGGAAGAGACCCAAGTTACTGACGAAAATGCCGACCACATGGAAAAGCCATAAATGAAAATGTGAACTACTAAGAACAGAAATACTAGTCGTTTTGCCTCTAGTTTTACTCCCTTTCTATTTAATAAACTATAAATTAAATTTTATTATTCAATAGGTAAAACTACCACACTACAAGTTCTAGAAATAAGACTTTCAGATCACAAGGAAATTAAGATTTTTAAAAACAAAGTATTATCAGATATTATACCTGGTACCCCAAATCCTAAATATGAATTTTAAATTGTTTTATTTATTATTTTTTTATTTTACATGTATGAGTGTATTGCCTGCATATGTTTAAGTGCACTTGTGTTGTGCAATGCCCTTGGAGGTCAAAAGAAAGTGTCAGAGCCTCTGGAACTGGAGTTACCGACAGTTGTCAGCAGCCATGTGAGTACTGGGAATTGAACCCAGGTCCTCTGCAAGAGCAGTCAGTGCTCTTAACGTCTGAAGCATCTCTCCAGTCCCCTAAATATGAATTTTAAAACACCTAATTGCCCCACTTGTAAATGGTATAAATGATACTCATAGACGAACCATAAGAAACAGCAGCAAATGAATCCTGTGGGCGTTGTCTGTCCTAGAGAAAGTTCACTAGAGACTGCAGTCTAGACCTCTCTAGAAGTTATTAACAGTATTTAGAATTAATCTTTTCCCCCAGTTTTCAAACTTCTATGCCTCTTTAAAAGAGAAAGGAGGGCTGGCAAGATGGCTCAGGGGGTAAAGGCTCTGGCTGGTAAGGAGAAAGGCCTGCCTGAGTTAGATCCCTGGGACCCACACAGGAGAGAGCTAACTCCTGCAAGCTCCCTTCTGACCTCTACAGGCACACTGGCACATCACCCACAAATGTACCCACATACACATGTACACACACAGGATGGATGAATTAATTTAAAAAGAAAAAAAAGAAATTTTCAAGAGTAGGAAACGGGCCCTGGCTGCTCTTGCAGAGCACCTGGGTTTGAGTCCCAGCACCCACATGGTGGCTAACGAGCGATCGTTTGTAACTGCAGTTCCAGGGGATCTGAGACCCTCTTCTGACCTCCACCAGCATTACAGGACACGGGTGCACTTACACACATGCAGGCAATACACTCACATACATAAAATAAAAATAACAAACAAAATACTAATAAACAGAGTAGGAAACAAAAGGAAGAAAAAGAACAAAACCAGAGAAGCTGGAAAAGAAGCGGGTCTCACCGGTGCCTCCGACATGAGAACAGGGTGCAGGCTGGCCTCAGATTTGACGTGCATCTTGTAGGTGTGGTCCAAAATGGCCTGGAAACTGTCCCAGTCCTCGACTAGAACATAAGAGTCACAGCTTGAAACAAAGCCTAGCTGAAGACGAACAAGCACCTTTAAGATGAAGACTGTTCCCGTGACTGTAAATGACCCCAGTGCACAGAGCCTGCTCGCTTTCCAGAAGACACCACTGCTTCCCCTCGCACACCATCTGTTCTAGGTCCTTTCAGACCTCGGCCAACTGAGCCATTTAACAGACACCAAAAATAAAACACCGAACCAGCATTACTAAGTGAGTTCTTTTTAGAGCTATAAGCAGAATGCAAAGAGAAAATGCAAAAGCAGTTCGGGTCCAGACGCAACTGCACCCGACTGGACCTGACCTGACTGAACCAGAACTAATGCTTAAAAAGCTTACTGAGAAAAATAAGATGAAAAGATGTTTAAAAATGTCCTTGGGCCTCTTGCAACCTACTCCATTCCAAAGGCTAAAAATGTCAAAAATATTTGGGAGCTTTTATCTAATCCTTAAGAGATTTTAGGGTTTTACCTCTTCAGAAGGGATTAAGCCCCATAAAAAAGAAAGAAAGAATTCAGAGCAGCAGGTGCTTCAAGATGCAGCCTTCACACTCCAGTGAGTCGCTCACGAGCAGGGGCAGTTCACAGGACAGTTCCCATTCTACCGCACCCGGCATTTCAAAATCACTTGGCACTCTTAGCTACAAGGCTTTATAAACGTCATTATCCATGCAATACGCCCCACAGACCCATCTGGTCTGGATTTCATCAGTATCCCGAACCTGACGCCTTACCGTGTCTCAGCACCACCCCTGAGACTGAGAACTTGACTCCGCATGCCCAACTATCTCTTCTTGAACCCCCAGCACCCCAGCTTCACAGCCTTTGTGCTTTCTCTCTACAGGCTAGATACAGAACACGTTTTCACTAGAAAGCCAATTCCTAACACGCTCCAAATCCTTTCTGGGTGATATAATGCAATTCCACATCTTAAATGTTTCCCCATAACCTTAAACGCCTGGATTGTTACCAACGTCCCAAATACTGTGAAGTCAATGAACTCACTCACATGCTGTGTGTAAGAGCTGCCACACAGACATATTCCCCCCGCCCACCCCAGTCTGGACGCTTGACTAGTAAACAGTTCCCTGCACTGGTAAAACGTTTCCCAACAGCGAGATGTCACAATGCCTAACCTGTTTGTACAAGGCAGTCTGTGCTGAACAGTACTTCCTTCTGTGTCTAATGCTTTGGTGCAGGCTAGGCAGAGGTAGTACCTCTGTGGCCAGCCCCAGTAAAGCCCAGGTACTGAGTCTCTAGCGTGCTCCCTAGTGGACAACACCTGTTGTTTCTACTTGCTGCTGAGGCAGGAAGCACCACCTGTGCCATCCTAGTGAGGAGCCTCTCAGCTCCTCTGCACTCTGTCCCCATCTCCTTTGCCTGTGACAGTTTCCTTCTGAGCGTGCTCATCCTCTAAGTCCTCCTAATGAGTGGCCGGATGAGCTTCTCTAAGAGTGACCCGTTCTCCTCCCATTTCGATTCTTCAGTACAGAGTCTTTTGCCCTCCATTTCCTCCTCTTCACCTCTTCAATCACTTAGCAGCATCTTCCCTAGATACCTGAACACGACTTGGCTCTCTGCCATCGGCAGTACAATTAAATCTCTGTATTCATTTACCTTCATTCTATGAGCAGGAGTGTTCTGCGTGCAAGCATGCAATACCCAGGTCAGAGGTGTCAGATCCCTAGAACTAGAGCCATGGACAGCTGCCAGCCACCATGTGGGTGCTGGGAACCAAACCCTGGTCCTCTACAAGAGCAGCCAGTGCTCTCTACCACCGAGCATCTCTCCAGCCCCAGAACCTCTTCATCTCTCATCTGAAAGTCTCACTCTTCTGACCTTCCTGCCCAGTTGACCCCCACATACTACAGTCACAGAAAGCTTTCAGGGCAGCAAATACAAGCACTCCACTGTCTCTACTTCAATTTCTTCAGGGCCAGCCTTCGGCTACAAGCTTACAGTCCATGACACTTCACAAGTGTTTCCCACGACTCCCCTCTTCCATGCTGGTCCCTTTGCTCTGCTCTGCCCTATCAGCCAGGTGAGTCCTTACTCACTGGTCAAGATTCAGCAAGTTACTACTTTGTAAAAACCATCACGATCCCTAACACCTCTGCTCTCTAATCCCATTGTTTACTGAGCACACCTACATAGCACGTTCTCCACAGCATACAGCTGTCTAGGCATACACCTAGCTCTCCTGAGCCTGAGTTCCTTAAGGAAAGGGAACATTTCTTAGGCATCTGTGTATTCTAGGTGCCCAGTACATCAGTTTGAGGAATTTAAAAACACAAGACAAAAGCTTCTGCTGTCCAACTTGTAAGAGGCTGCTTTCTATCTGAAAGGTCCCTCACACCCCACTCTAGTCAAAGGCATACCCATCCCATTCTTGAGTGGCGAGATGGCCTCCATGTTTTCTCTGGGCACGCGCAGCGCATTGGTGTCTATGTAGTAGGTGGGGCCACCCTGTTTGCCTTTATCGCCGTCAATTTCCATGAGCGTGCTCCCATCGTCTCTCTCCAGCACCATACCAATGGCCGTGGGGAAATCCACCTGGAGAGCCAAAGACGCAACATGAGGTCCACCAGCTTCTCCTGGGAGTTTTCTTAACTAGGGTCTGGTGCCATATTGTTTCTGAACCTCTGCTTGAACTTAACTGTGCATAATTGACTCCTGCAGATCTGAGCAATTCTCACCCTGCTCTTACCTTGGGGCAGTCCTCGCCAGCATAGCCAGCCCGCACGGTATAGGATCCAATGTCAAAAACAAGGGCGCCGACTTCATCTGAAGAGATTAAAGAGAATTACACTTGCAACCTCTAAGTGTCCTATGGAAATTAAAGGCATATTTAACGTGTGTAAAATCAGAATATGCGAAAACTGTAAATACATTCATATTATCACTAGCTTGAACCTAGTTTTAAATACACCTTAAAGAGCCACTTAAATAAAATATGGCAAGTCATACACTGTGAATCGGTGGAGGTTTAATCAGGACAAAGATGGAACACTAAAAATGGAAGTAATTCTACTCACTAAAGGGACTATTTACAAATACTTAGAGTCAAAGCATAAAAAGACAGAAGGCAGAGTCTGGTACCCTAGTGTTCTGGCTTGTTTCTTCACTGCTGTGACAAAACACTCTGACCATTACCAACTTGGGTAGGAAAGGGTTTATTTAGCTTACATATCCCAGGTCACAGTTCATCTGGGAGCCCAAGGTAGGAACTCAGGCAGGAACCTGGAAGCAGAAGCTGGAACACAGGCCATAGAGGAACGCTGCTTACTGGCTTGCTCCCTGGCCCCTGCTCAGACTGCTTTCTTATGCAACACAGGCCCACCTGCCCAGGGGTGGCACCACCCACATGGGCTGGGCCCTCCCACATCACTCATCAAGAATATGCCCCTCAGACATGGCCACAGGGCAGTCCAGTAGAGGCAATTCCCCTCAACCCAGGTGTGTCAAGTTGACACTAAAGTATCCAGCACACCAGCACACCTGGTGACAGGGATTCATGCCAGCCTTGGGACTGAGGGACAAGAAGGAACAGCAACCAGAACCTGGAGGGAAGCTGTGGGAAGGGCTGAGGAGCTGTGACATCAGCTGAGAGACGCAGGCAGCCAAGGCTGACAGAGGGGCAGACCTAGTGATAAACACCCTCCCATTCCAACCACAGGGAGACACTGTAATTCAGTGTCCAAACTGGGACACTTTTAGCATAGGGGGGCAAAGGGGACGGGGGTGCCTTTTAACAAGTATACCAGATTATACAGCACATAGCAGAGTATGGTTATCAATCGCCAGATCCGAGCTAAAGCCAGAGGCCAAGACAGCCCACGGTGGTCCTCTTCCTGTTCACCAGCACAGGAAGGTGCCGAGAGTGGAGAGGGGATCGGGGGCCAAAGAACAGCACCCAGCACACCTGAGTACTAATCAGACAACTATGGAAGTTAGGTTTCATGCCATTAAGAAACTGAGCTAAACAAAGCCGCATGCAGACCAGGGAGCACGGGGCATTGGGGTTCACATGTAACTGCACGGGCAAACGGGGCCCTGAGAAGGCGGCTCCACTGAAACTACACATTCCCCGTGTCAGGAGACAGTTCAGTACTGAGAAAGACCAGCAATTCCTTTTAGTCAATTCAGAGAAAAGCCTCTCCTTTTCAAGTACTTTACCCCAAACAGCAGGCCTCTTAGAACAGATACTTCGTCAGGTGCTGATTTATTAATGGATTTTTTTCAATTATGAATTTAGATGTATCCAGCGTAGAGAAACTCATGCTTTCAACAAGACCTGTACAATGTTCACTACCTATATGAACTTGAGCAATTTACTAACTTCTCTACCTCTTTTTCCTAATGTGTGAAATGTACTTAAAACCTCCTATCTCAAGGCTGGAGAGATGTCTCAGCGCTTAAGAGCACTTGCTGCTCTTGTAAGAGGATTCTGGTTCAGTTCCCAGCAACCACATGGCAGTTAACACTAGTCTGTAACTCCAGTTGTAGAGCATCCGACGCCCTCTTCTGGCCTCCTGGGGCACTGCACGCATGTGGTGCACTTATATACATGCAGGCAAAACACTCATACACGTAAAATAAAATTAAAAGCCCTCCTATCTCCTAAGACACTATAATGACTAAATGTGCATTGACATACATACAAGCACAGTACGTCAGCTGCTGTGATTATTGCTGCCATACCTCTTGCCAAGAAATAACATGGTAGTTCTCCACAGAGAAGTAGAAGCTACAGTTCACTCACAGGAATACTACACAGCAGTTAGGATGATGGTACAGACCTCCTGACTCAATATAGACACATAAGAACGCTTGGTCTTAAAGCTAATCACAAACTGTCAGAGACAAAGCTACTTCACTCACTATGGACACTGTACGGGTGCACGGCAGAGGGAGGGAGGTCTGACACAGACAGTGGTCTGTCTGGCAGTTAAAAGCCCAGGGGTTTCCAAGATAAGCCCCTCAAGGGGGCACTAGAACTTTTTCTACCAGAAATGCATGATTCTTCTTAAAAGATGTTTATTATTTTTTTAAGATGTTTATTATTTTTAATTGTTTATACGTATATGTGTATGTGCACATGAGTGCAGGTGCCCGAGGAGGCCAGGGACACTGAATTCCCAGAAGCTGGAGTTACAGGCTGCTGTGGGTGCTGCAAATCGATTCAGACCGTTTACAGGAGCAGTATCATGATTTCATTTAACAAAAACTTTGACAGCTTTTCCCGCAGTAGTTTGAGTTTAAGGGTGAAGTGGTTTTCTGAGGAATCAAGATATAAGGGTTCCAACCGGGTCTCAAATGTCCCAAGGAAACGCTGAGTGCTGGTAATCTGCGCAGAAGGTAGCAAGGCTGTCTTGATTTGTTTGGACCAGGTGCCCCCAGGACTGGGAAGCCAGCTACTCGGAGGACAACTGAGAACTGTTATGGTCATATATTAGATGGGAAGGAGGATGCAGGAATGATGAAACTAACAACTGACCAAAACTGTGCTGCTGGTGTCTGTTTACATCAGCTGAAAATCTAAAGTGCCAAGACAGACAACTGACCGCAAGGCCAGCCAGCAAAAGCCCAGAAGCCAGCTGCATACATTTCTACCCCTGAGTTTTAAAGCTTCATATGCAAAATGGTTATTAAGATCTAATCCTCCGGGGGCTGGAGAGATGGCTCAGTGGTTAAGAACACTGGCAGTTCTTACAGAGGACCCGGGAATCCCAGCACCCTCATAGCAGCTAACAACTCCAGTTCCAGGGGATTCGACCGGTGCACTTACATACTTGCAGGCAATATACATACACATAAAATAAAAATAATAAATTTTAAAAATTAAAAAAATCTATTCTTCTGTAGAAGCCAGTAAGAGGATGCCGACTGTGACTGGTGACTATGTTGTGGTTATATACTTGAAAAGCAACCTGTGGGGGAACCAAGTAACTTCTGTGAGATGGGATTTTCTGAAATGTCTTCTTCATCCCAGAGCTATGTGCTCCCAAATTACTAAGGACCATCTTTTAACTTTGGGCTGGCTGATTAGTTTTTTCCAATACTTTACCACCGCAAACGGGTGCTGTGGATTAAATGATGCAGGAACATGCAAAGCCCGTGACGCCTTTGGGAAAGTCCATGTACCTGTTAGCTGCAAGATTACCTTGCATTTCTACCGTAGTCACGGCTTTGTAAGGAGTGGACAGCCTCCACTGTGACCAGTGAACCTGCACCGTGCAGTCAGTACTACGAGGCCGGGGCACAGGCTGTCAGCAATGTTTAGATGGGAAAGAGGTCAATCAAGCGGAGAGGAGGGGAAGGGAAGGAAAGAAGGAAACGGGAAAGGCAAATCTGCCCTCACTGAGAAGCCAGAGCCAAGGACCGAAAGGAGGGGCTGGCGGCTGGTCGGCGGCGCTGGCTACCTAAGAGCCCGGAGTTCGGGGCCAATGCCGGGAAAGCAAAGGCGGAGAGGACGCGCTGCGCATCCTCCTGAGAAGTCTTCCGCAACAGCTCAAGTACCAAGAGCCTATTTCCGCCCGCCACCAAGCAGCGCCTACCTCGGCGCTCCGCAACCACCTGCAGCTGCAGTCACACCGCCAGAGCCAGCCGCCAGCAGCAGCCGCAGCCCGTCGGGCCACGCACCACGCCGCTCCGGAACCTTAGAGAGCCGCCCCCGGCGGAGGCCCGGCCCCAGAGGGCGTCGGACCCGGCGTCCCGCCACACGGAGACCTCCAACGGTCCCCACCGGCTGCGGAGCCCGGGACCCAGGACGTGGCCCTCCCTCGCGCTCCCCCGAGGCTAGCCCCGGATGCCGGCACCGGGTGCTCGCCGCGCGCGGGCTCCGAGCAAGGGAGGATCGGGAGGCAGCGGCCCGCAGGGGGACCGGAAGGGTTGGCCGCGGACCGGAAGGGCCCGCCGCGGACCGGGGGGAAACGGCAGCGGCGAGGACCGGGCCGGCCGTTCCGGCCCGCACGCCTCCAGCGCCTCCGCGCTCGCTCACCTCCGCCGTACACGCCGCCGCTCATGGCTGCTGTCGGGCGGCTGCGGGCCGAAGGCTACCCGGAGAAGGACCGCCGCAGCCGCGCTCGGGACCCCGAGAGCACCGGCCCCGCAAGCCCGCAACTTCCACCGCCGCCCCCTCCGGCAACAAAGCGGCGGCCACACGCCCCGCGCAGCCACTCTTGCTGGGTTGTCGTGTCGGCCAATCATGAGGGGCCCGGCTTCCTCTCCAGCCAATCAGAATTCGGTTCTGCCGCACTCTGCGCGGCACAGCCCTCCCAGCCAATGAAGGCGGCCGAGGGGGCGGGAGGGCGAAACGACCGGGGAAGGGAAGGAGCTGAGTCCCTGCCGGAGGGGCGGGGCCTCGAGACTCGGCGGATGGGCGGGGTTAGAAGGGTGGGTGGGGCTTCACGGGAGGATCCGGAGCCGCGCTCTGCGGGTGGGCGGGAATGTGGGCGGAGCTTCTTGGGTAGGCCGGGCCTCCGCTGTGTGGGCGGGGTTTCGTTAGAGGCGCTAGTCTGAGCGTCAGGGCTCGACCTCCGCCCTGGAGCGGTGGGAACTCGGTGGAGGGGAGCCTGAGGTCGTCCCACCCCCTAGCGACTCCTAGCCTGGGCTTGTGATGAGTGCGCGTTGTTTTAATATTTTTCTTTATGTGTACGAGTGTACTCCCTGCATATGTGTAAGTGCACTCGAGTCGTGCAATGCCTGCGGAGGTCAGAAAAGAGGATCAGATCCCCTGGAACTGGAGTTACTGTGGGTTAGCTGCCTTGTGGGTGCTGGGACCCGAACCCAGGTCCTCTGCAAGAGCAGTCAGTGCTCTTAACCACCGAGCCATCTCTCCTGCCCCGAATGCACGTTTTTTTAAACTACAAAGGTTCTCAAAAATAAAAATGCGCTACACAGGGTTTGGAGAAATGGCTCAGAGATTAAGAGCACTGGCTGCTCTTGCAGAGGACTCAAGTTCTGTTCTCCAAAAGGTGGTTCTAATAATGAAATATTGAAACAATATTAATTTGAGTTTATAATATACAGTAATACATTTAAATCAACAGCATTTAAATGCCTACCAATTCACTTACAACAAGTTAAATTGATATCCCGCACCTATACTGTGCGGAATGTCTCCTGTGCAGGTAAGAAACTATACCCGAGAGCTAAAATACCTATTTGGGCTGAAGAAGGAGTCAAATATTTGTCCCACTAGTTAAGAGATGAATAGAAAATGGAACAGCACTGGGCTCGATCCCCAGCACACCACAGAGTCTATGTATAACATATAAAATATCTAAGAGCTGCAAAATAGTTTTGCATTACTCTTTCTCCTCTGTAGCCTTTTTTTTTTTTCCTATAGTCTTGGCTCAGCCTAAATTAGTGTTACTGATAACTAGTCAGATTAAGCACAAGAACAAGTCAAGACTACTGCTATTTCTTCAATCTCAAGAGCACACCGCATCAAAGATGCTTGGGATGGGGCTGTAGCTCAGTGGCAGCACTCAGCTAGCATTTACAAGGCTCTGCAAGAGCAAAACACACCCCAACGGCCCATCCACGCATGCCGATTTCTTCTGGAATCCGCATATTGGGTGTATCCACCCAAAGACAAAATACACCCAGGTACCATAGAAGTAAAATTATCTGGCCCACAGTAGGTGTTCATCTATAGACATTGCACGTTCAAAAGCCTTTGTTATATCCAAGCACGAAGATCTCCGGTCTACCAGGTGCAACCCCTGGCTTCGCCTCACAGGGTCGCTGGTGTTCTGTCCTTGTAACACTGCAGACCCCGGAGACCGAGCCTGTCAGCTCACTTTAAGGCGTTCCAGCAGTCACTACGTTTCAGATCTGGGCCTCTTCAGATTTCTGTAAACTCACTGTTGAAAAAAGCTTCAACTATTAGTTATGAAATCTGGAAAACGTGCTGGACAGATTTACCTGACCTGCGTGTGAAGACCCTGCTTTCCCCAAACTGCCAAAAGCATGCTTGACCACGGACAGTGCACTTTCGGTCAAGACTGTCTCCTTGGCAAAAGCTAATAGACAAAGGAACTCAGCGCCCCACCCCAAATTATACAAGGAAATGACACTCTGATCACTAGTCACAGGCCTTTATGCTTAGCTAGTTTTCATTGGAGTAAAGAGATTCTTTGCTTCAAAATAACATCGCTAGGCCAGCATGGTAGCACATGCCTTTAATCCCAGCACTCAGGACGCAGAGGCAGGCGGATCTCTGTGAGTTCAAGGCCAGCCTGGTCTACATAGTGAGTCCCAGGCCAGCTGGGGCTACAAGGAGACCCTGTCTCAAAAAAAAACAAAAAAAATCCCTAGAAGTCTTGAAATTTCCTTGAGACTGACTACGCTGAGTAAAAGCCACATGGTTTGCCCTGCTTATGTAAATTAAAGCAACACATGCGCAGTGATCCCGAAGGTGGGGCCTCTTCCTCGGCAGGGAGCTTCCTGGGCCCCCACGCCTGAGATTCTGATGAAGTGTGTGTCTGTCCTGCATGCTACACGCCCCTCGTCAAGGATTCTCTGAACTCCTGCCATGCTGGATGTAGCCGGAAACAAATTTGGAAGGTTCTCTTTGTGAAGAAAACATTAAAATGTAGGTATATCTAGAATTATTTTATACTGCAAAACACATGAAATAAGCAAATGTAAAAGATACATTTCAGTGTAGACTTTTAAAAATATTTTGTTTTTATTAAGTGTATGAGTGTATTGCCTACATGTTGAGAGTGTACCGGTGTCATGCAGTGCCCATGAAGGTTAGAAAAGGGCATCGAACCCTGGAACTGGAGACACAGATGGTTGTAGCTGCTATGTGGTGCTGGGAATCGAACCCTGGTCCTCTGCAAGACCAGCCAGTGCTCTTAACCACTGAGCCATCTCTCCAGCCCCTAAATGTAGACTTTTCAGTGGAATACAATTTTTAATTTTTGAGAATTTTCACATATGGGTAGTGTATTTGCATTATTTCCTCCTTTCCCAGTTCAATATAGACATTTTTAATGGCTATATTATGTTTACAGATTCATTGAAAGTACTCTGTTTACTAAAGTTCCAAAAATACACTAATCAAACAAAAAAATGAAGATGACCGTCTGGAACCCAGGCTTTTCAACCACAGTAATAGGGTCAGATTCACACAGGTGTTTGCTGTTAAGGTGAAATGGCATCTGGTAGTCAGTTCAGTAATAGAAATCACAAAGAAGCAAAGGAAAGTGGTCACGGCAGTTCCTTCATAACGCGGCAGTCCGAATGTTACAGTGTTAATAACGCCGCTCTATACATTTTACATGCAGGTGTGGTCCTTCTGTTCCACCTGTAGCTCCGACACTGTGTCCCTCACTGTAGATGTGAAATGGTCTGTTTCAAATGACATTACTCAGCCTATGAACAGGACAGACGATGTTCAGTGCTGGTCGGAACTGGGGCAGGGAGAACACGGGAAGAACCCTGGGGAAGAGGCATCTTCTGCACCAATCAGAAGGCAGGACCAACCCCCAGCAGCTTGGGGGTCACCCAGACAGAAGAAAATATGGGCCACACTTGGCCTCCTTCAGAGCTCTGCCAAAGGCCAGCCACACCTTGACTGAGCCAGAGGCTGCGAGGCTGTAGCAGTGAGCCACACCACTCGTGCGAGATCGTCACCAGGCTTGTGGTTCACCAGCACCAGCAGCACTCTGCTGCAGTGGGCTTTGCCTTTTCCTGCCCACTCCCATCCTTGTGCTCCCCAAGCTGATCCTGTTATTTGGATTCCCATTTCAAATCCCAGCTCCAAGTCCCTCAAATGGGGAGCGTCCTGGGGTCCAATGCAGAAGGCAGACGAGGAGAGGAGGTGCTGTAAGCCACGGCACATGCGTCATATCTTCTTTCATGGTTGGGTTTTGTTGCTGTTGGTGGTGCTTCTGTTTTTGGTTTGGTTTAGTTTGGTTCTTGTTTTTTGAAATAGAGTCTCTTGTAGCTCAGGCTGGCCTCAAACTTGCTATGTAGCCAAGCATGGCCTTGAACTCCTGATCCTCTCATCTCCACCTCCAAGAGCTGGGATTAAGGGTGAATGCCATCATGCCTGGCTTACATAGGGTATCCTGGAAGAGTCACTTCTTTTTCCCTCAAAGATCAGAGGAGAGGGATGTATGGAATAGGCAAGGAAATGAACATAACATTTAATGTTGACACAAAGGCCAATATAACACAGGTTAGGATGCAGACTTGGGGACTAGAGAGCTTGCTCAGTGGTTAGTGCGTCTTGCACTTACAGAGGACTTAAGTTTGGACTCATGTGTGCGCTCACGTGCGTGCACACACACGTGCACGCACAGAACTAAATTAAAAATTAAAAGCTTTAGAAGACAGAATTCAAGTGAAGTTTTGGAAATTGTGATGGCTAATCTGGGTGTCAATTAGACTGGATATGGGATTAACTGAAATGAGAGAGACCTTCTTGATTGGATCATCTGAAGCTGGAAGACACGCCCTAAATGTGGGAGTTACCTTCTGATGGCAGCCCCTATAAAAGGCCACGGCAGAGGAGAACACCAGGCTTCTTGCTGCTTGCCTTCTCTCTCGCTGGTGAGTTCGTCTTGCTGCTGTAGACTGAAGACTAACTGATTGTCTGGAATTCATCAGACCTTCAGCACCAGATTGGGACTACTGAGACATCCAGCCTTGTGGACTGAGCGACTACGGATTCTCAGCCTCTCCAGTGTGGTGCAGCCATTGTTGGACTGCTTGGACTCTATCCTGTGGCTGAGGCAGTGACCCTCAATTCACCCCTGCACTAGATGCATGTTAACAGAAGTCCCTGGTTTGAAGACAAGAGAGGAAAGAGGG